AAGACCCTCTATGAGGTGAATTGATTCAGTGACTGAGGTAATGGGGTGGGTGTATCAGAGACCATGCGATTGGCACAGTACAGAGCAGAGTTTAGGGCTGTTATATAGAGGATCACTATGAGTCTCAAGTTACTCGACGGCACATAACAACAAGTGCTCGCTTTGGCAGCACATATACTAAAAAATTGGAACAATACAGAGAAGATTAGAGATTAGTATGGCCCCTGTGCAAGGATGACACACAAATTTGTGAAGCGTATCATATTTTAAAAAAATGCTAATCTAACATGAAAAGTTGGTATCTCTTTTGGCTTAAGCTTGATTCAAGGAATTTTTTGAGGGAAGGTTTTATCAATCCTTTTGGGTTGATCTTGTTATAGAAAAGGAAGATATCATTGTAGTTCCTGTCAGTGGACTGCATAGTCAGATGTTATCTCTGGAAGCTCTTTTGGTAGTTTTCATTGAAACCAGTGAACATTTGGATGAATGACTTGTACATTTATCAGATGACATATTAAAAAGTTGTGATAGATATGTACATAACAAATATTTTCATCATTTTTTAAACATGTACAATTCAGTAACAGTAATTATGTTTTAATGTTGCATAACTATCCTCACTATCTCTGTTCCTTAGTGCTGTTTAACATACTTCATTTTCCCTCTCTTTCACTCCCATTGTTAGTAACAGCCAACAAATATTTCTTTCTGTGCTCATCTATGATGGGCCAGCTTGCACGTGCTTTTGGTCAGGTTCCCTTCCCTCAACACAGTGTTTGTGAGGTTTCTCCATGTTATTATTTGTATTAGTTTCCCCCCTGTTTTACTTGTAATATTTTATTACATTTTCATCTGTTACTAGACAGTATTTTTCTTGTTTAGGCATTTTTAGAAATAAGACTGTTTCATACCTTTATATACAGACTGTTTTGTGATCATATATTTTCATTTCTCTTAGATAAGTATTTAAGAATGGAATTGTTGTGGTCTATAGTAAGAACATTTTACTTTTTAAGGAAGTTATTAAACAATTTTCCTAAGTGTTATGCCATTTTATATTCATATTAGCAATGTGTGAGAGTTCTAGTTGTTTCATTGTCCACACTTTGTTGACAACTGGACAAGAATTGCCTGTTTTGGTTTTTAAATTTGAGCTGTTTTAGTGAGCAGGCAGTGATACATCATTGTGACTTAAAGTTTGTGTTTTCCTGAATGGATTCTTTAGACTATTTAGGACTATGGTTCTGGTGGGTGGAAACATCTTTCTTGTATTTATTAATTTGAATTTTTTTTTTTAGGTTTCTTTGAAAGAGATTGAAGCAAATAACTCAAAATGCCAGAAAATCCTGCACCAAACATAATAGGTATGTAATTGTAGCACTATGGTAATTAATTACCCAAGAATAGAATATTAGATGGAGCTTAATTTTTACTCTGATCTTTTCCTCTTGAACCAGATAAATCACATATCCTGCAGATTGTTGATCGCTTGAAAACAAAATTGCAGGAGAAGGGTGATACTTCACAGAATGAGAAGCTGTCTATGTTCTATGAGACTCTCAGGAGTCCTCTCTTTAACCAGATACTGACACTTCAGCAGTCCATCAAGCAACTGAAGGGGCAAGTAAGTTGACTGTCAGAGTTTTATCCATTGATTTATTCCATAAAAGATTGAAAGAGATAGAGGCAAATGTTCTTTAAGTATTCTTAGGTCCACACAGACTCTCGATTGAGACTTGTGAACTTGTAAGCAGCAATGACAACCCTCATTTGAAAGTGACAGTACTAACACATTTTGTTTGGCTTTGGCATATGGGTTTTTGGTTTGTTTGTTGTTTTTTTTTTACATAAATATAGAAATGATGTTGCTGTTGTTGTTAGGTGCTGTCGAGCTGAGTAAGACTCATAGTAACCCTGTGAACAACAGATCTGAACCCTGTCTATCTAGTGTCATCCTCACAATCTCTGACACACTTGAGGTCATTGAAGCAGCCCCTGTGCTAATCCATTTGGTATTCCTCTCTTTTGCTGACTCATCACATTTCCAAGTATGAATAGCCTTTCCAAAAACAGGTTCAAAGTTATGTGACATTAAGTTTTGTCATCTTTGCCTCCAAGAAACATTTTTGCTGCAGTTTCTTCAAGACATCTATGTGTCTTATTGGCAGTCCATGGAATATTCAGAATTCTTCAAAAGCACAACACCAAGGCTTCAGTTCTTCTTTGCCTCCTTATTCATTTCCAGCTCTCAGATGCACAGTAACTGATTGAAAAGACCATGGGTCTGAATCAGGTGCGTCTTAGTCCTCAAATTGACTTAATTTTTCTTCAGTAATTTGGAGAGATCCCTGACTGCAGACTTTAACAGTGCAATACATCTCCTGGTCTCCTGACTCTTGGTACAAATGGTGGTGGTTGTGGATCCAAGTAAGATGAAGTCATTAACAGTTTCAGTCTTTTCTCCATCTGTCATGATGTTGCCTATCGTTTGGTCCAGTGGCGAGAAGTTTTGTTTGATGTTGAGATGAAATCCATATTGAAAGCTGCAGAGTTTGATCTTTTGCAGCAAGTGTTTCAAGTCCTTTTTAGTTTCACCAAACAAAGTTGTGTCATCTGCATAACAAAGGCTATTGATGAGACTTCTTCCTATCTTGATGCCACATTCTTCTTCATAGAATCCAGCTTCTTGAATAATTTGCTCAGCATACAGATTGAATAGTTGTTGTGGAAGGAACTAGCCCTGACACACACTTTTATTAATTTTAAACCATGTAGTGTTCCCTTGCTCTGTTTAGATATCAGCCTCTGTCTAGGTCTAGGTTTTGCATGAGCACAGTTGAGTGTTCTGGTATTCCCATTCTTCTCAATGGCAGCAAGGCGGGACTTTATGAGGAGGAATGTGGCGTCAGTATTGGAGAAAGACTCATCCATAACCTGTATTATGCAGATGAAACAGCTTTACTTGTTGAAATTGAGGAGGGTTTGAAACAGAGGGTCAAGGACTGTAATTTGCAATATGGATTGAAGCTCATCATCAAGAAAACAAAGATTCCTACCACTAGGTCAATGGTAGCATCATGATGGATGGAGAAGATATTGAGATTGTTAACAATTTCAGTTTACTCAGTTCCATAATCAATACTTTTGATACCAGCAGTCAGAAAATCAAAAGACTAATTACATTAGGAAAATCTGCTGGCAGGGACTTCTGTAGAATGCTGATGAGTGTGGATGTCATTCAGGAGACTAAGGTGCACCTGAGCCAGGCCATGGTCTTCACAATTACTTGCTATGCCTCAGAGAACTGGACCATGGCCAAGGATGACAGAAGAATAATTGATGCCTTTAAGTTGTGGTGCTGGAGAAGAGTATTAAACATACCATGGACCACCAGGAAACCTAAGAGGTCTGTCCTGGAGAGGGTGAAACCAAACTTGCTTCTTGGAGGCAAGGATTTTGAGACGCCATCTCATATAATTTAGGCGTGTAGCCAGGAGGGACCAGTCTTTGAAGAAGGCTATCATGCTTTGAAGGGTAGAGGACATTGCAGGAGAGGAAGACCTCAGATGAGATGGATTAACACAGTAACTGGGGTAATGTGGGTAGGTGTGTCAGAGACAGTGAGATTAGCTCAGGATAGAACAGGGTTCTGAGTGATTGTACATAGGGTCACAAGAGTCATAGTCGACTTGACAGCACATAACAATAACAATTCCATGTTAGCAAAGACAGAAGGTCTTGGAGAAGGAAGGGGAGTTGGGTAGTATGGACTTGGTGACAGAAATGAGTCCAGAAATAGAATGATGGAATTTTGTACTTTCAGTGATTTATTCATCACAAACACCTTCCCCCCCCCCCACTGCTGAGAGTGTGTTCATTTATTTTTTAAGTGGGTGTGGACAAACACCATTTTTTAAAAAACACAATATGTGACTTTACATCTGCACCTTACCAAACTGACTATATAGGAATCAGATTGACTACATCTGTGGAAGGAATTTTTGGAAAAGTGCAAAATTAGCAATCAAAACCAGGCCAGGTGTGACTGTGGGACAGACCATCAATTACTCATGTGCAAGTTTACACTGAGGCTGAAGAAAATTAAAACAAGTCCACCAGAAGCAAAATACAATGTTGGGTCTATCCCACTTGATTTTACAAATCATCTTAAGGATAGGTTTGAAGTATTGAATACTAATGATCGAAGATCAGATGAGTTGTAAGCAGTAGGCTTGGTATTTTAATACTTATCAATGTGTTCTCCCTTACATAAAAGTGTATTTTTTTAGACTTTTAATACAAAGTTGTTGAAATAAAGGACACATAACATCTTTACTTAAAATCAGTAGTTTAACTGTTCTTTTGGATGCTATGTCTTGGTGTGTTTTTTTTTTAAATTATATTTTTTAATTTTTTTTCCTTATTGTGAACCACTGAATTAAAACCAAGTGATTGCCCCTCCTCCAGAGGAGCATCTGGTGGTTTCGAACGGCACAGCTTCAGGATTGCAGAGCAGCTTCTTGCCACTAGGCCACCAGAACTCCCTTTGGGTGCTGTGTTTTGGGATCAAGGATGGCAAATTGTTTAAAATAATGCATTGTGGAAACTGAGTTTAAATAGTAACAATTCTATAGATTAAATTTCGGGAGAATGCTTCCATAATTGAAGATTAACACAGATTTTGTAATATGTTACAAATTATGGAAAAATACTTTTCCTTATAAAATTCCTACATCATAAATATTGTGTTGTTAGTTTAAAAGCTGGTTTTTCTACCCTTTATGTGTCTTACAAATCATCAACAGCTATGGAACTATGATATGAGAAAGAGTACGTTTCCCCCAACACTGTAGAGCCCAGTGATGACAATGGTGGAGAGACTGTGGCATTGCTGTGCAGAGACTGTAACCTGAGGCTTTGCAATAATTTGTGCTTACAAATTACACTTAAAGGTTTTGCTTGTGGGACGATTGAAGGAGAAGCTCACTTATAACTGCTCTGAGGCAAACCTTGTTGAATGAGTGCTATCTATGCTACTGAACTGAACTAGGACTTTTATTAAATTGAGGAATTGTGTTGTACTGTTAGCCTGGCTTGGGACTGCTGAGCTAAACCTGCACTTGCATTGGGTGATATTCTTTGTTTCTCCACTCTCCAACTTATTTCTATAATAAACCCAACAACTGTGAATAAAGTCTGTGAGTCAACAGTGAACCTTGGACTCAAATGATTGGTAGAAAGAAGTGCAGGAACATGAGAGGTTGCTGCTATGGATATCATTGATGGAGACAGGTTCCCTTTATGAAGCGGGTAGAAATCAGACTCAGACACCTTCAAATTGTATTTGATCCTTAAACATAAACTTAATGAGTAATATGTTTATAATGAATTTAGTATTAAACTGCACCTATATTCTGTGAATTTCTGTTTTCATAATCTTAATGAGATAGCAATTGAAATTGGGATCAGTTAGTACAACTCTCACTATTAGAATAACCTCTCAATTTTAATGACAATCCACTGTATTTTATAGTTTGCAGTTTTTATAGACAGAATTAGATTTAATCAATGTAAAATTCTTGCTTACAAGGGGTTTGGTGTAGGGTTTTTTTTTTTAATTTATTGTGTTTGAATGAGATTTACAGAGAACTTTATTTCCCACTCAACAATTTATAAACATTTTATTTCTTGATATTAGTTGCAACTCTCGCAATAGATGATATTTTTCATGCCAGATTGTTGACATTTGCATTTAATGTTAACATTGCATCTACTATGTGTTGGCCGTTAATAGTCAAATGCTATTTCCTTTTCCTTGCTCCCCATCAAGACATCATTCTCCCTTTCTTCCACTATTTCTATCACTTGCTTGGTATATAATCTTGAGCAAGTTACCTAAACCCTGTATGACTCAGTTTCACCTTCACAAAATCGGTAATAGAATTTCATACTCAAATCTGGAGCAAAGATTAAATGAGATAACCCATGCAAGAACTTGGCAGAATGCCTATATCAAATATTCAGTGAAGACTATTTTTTATTGTTATTTATTCCCTATGGCCTGTACATATTTTATCATTTGCCACTTGAAAATATGAAAATAAAGGCCTTCATATTTTATATCTAGATATGTGCCTATATATGAAGTGTATTGAGAAACTAGTATAGATATGTAGTTGTTATTGTTATGTGCTGTTGAGTTAATGCAGACTTGAAATCCTGTGTAACAGGGTAGAAGTGCCTTACTGATTTCTTATGCTATAATCTTGAGAATAGATCCCCAGGTTTTTCTGTACAGATCTGCTGTTGATTTTGAACCACTCACTGCTCAGTTAGCAGATGTGTGTTTAACCATTTTGCCACCAGAACTATTTAAAGTGGTAGTAGAAGGCAGGAAGCAAGAATAATTTTAAGCTACCAGTTAATTTATATAAATACAGAGGATGCATATACTTGTACTTTATTTCTTTCTCGTTTATGTTTAACGTGAAAATTATACATTTAGACACTTATTAAATAATAATATGCTTTACTTTTTTTTTTTGGTTTAAAAGATTTTATTGAGAAAGCACAGTTGTACCCTGCGTTTTGAGAGATTGCTTTACACCGCTGTTTTTATAAAAACACTCATTAGAGTCAATTCTGGAATATTTTCACTTAAAAATACAAGTGTTCTAATAATGTGCTTTTCTATAGGTTTCTTTTGATTCTTCTCATTTTTTTTCTTCCCAACAGCTCAGCCACATACCTTCGGATTGTTCAACCAACTTTGAATTTTCTAGAAAAGGGTTTTTGGTGTTTATAGATGGTTCCATTACTAATGGGAGTGCCCAGCGGCCAAGTAATAACTTGGCTGCATCTGGGTTATTTCCCTGGGTATCAAAATTGGGAAATGAAGACTTCAACTCAATTATTCAACAGATGGCTCAGGTACAGTTATATCTTGCCACAGGAATATTCAGCTTAATTTCTGTTGTCTGGCTTAAGAAAGAAACTTGCATTCATTTGCTTTTAAAATGTGCTAGTATTAAGTTTTGTTGGCTTGTGTCTTTAGACAGAATTAATGTTATTTTCTAACCTGTGTGTTGAAAGCTTATTGGCTTACAATCACTTAAACAAAGTAATACTTTAATGAGGAGAGATATTTTTAATCACAATTCCAATTTGACACATCTCTACACTTGTAGAAAAAGAGATTCTTATTGATTTTGATTATTAGAGGAAAATTGTGAAAGGTTTTTCTGCCAGAAGTGTTGAAAATGTTAATTTTAAATCAAAATAGAGTTAATAAGAATTAGGTTTAATATATACTCTCGAGAAATCTAGAGAAACACTTGAAAGGGTTATATCCCTCATTTTTATTAATAATTAAATGTGGACAAATGCTTCCTTAGGTATGTCCATTTTTAGTAAGTTCCTTTAATAATGAAACCTGAGTTCCAAAGTGAAAAGAACTTGTTCAGGGTATGATATAGTTACATACTGGCCTGTACCTAATTCCTTTTTAGACTTTATAGCTCTATCTCCTTCACTGGACTATCTATAATGATTATTTTTATGTGATGATTTTTGTTGAGTACTTTTATGAAGTTCTCATGTTATAATGCAGTTTTTAGTTAGGATCGTTCGCAGCCACAGCTAGAACTGTGAATAGTGTCCTCTTGTGTAGTCTTTTGATTTTATCTACAAAAGAATCTACATTTGACCTAAAAAAGAGTACTAATTCATTGCAATAAAATTAAACCAGCATGCTAAAAACAGTGCTGATTTGGAGTTTAGGTTGAAAGATAGCATATTTTCAATGCACTTATTATGCTTTCTTCATCTAAACATGCACTTTACATCTGAAGAATTTAGGAAAATTAAGTGTGAAAGATAAGTTAGAATATACTGTGGGAAAGGCATTATTTTCTATAGTACTAGGAGCTTGGACTGTAGCTCATGATGTAAATAAAGTGCTAAAATACTTCTTTTATTCCCTGAGGTTGTAAAGCATTACATATTGTCTCTTGTGTTCTACTTAAAATAATCAAGTAAGAGAGTTTCCAGAAAGAATTTATTTCTGAAATGATGAGTTTATAAGGTTTTATAGAGATCACTTAGGAGTAGCTATTTTTGTGCTTAAACAATTTTAGCTTTGTGTAAAGGGTCTGTTAGTTAAGTATGTACTATATTAACTTTTTCTTTTTCTCATTTAACCTTCAATAGGGCCGGCAGATTGAATATATAGAGATAGAACGACCTTCAAGTGGAGGCCTTGGGTTCAGTGTGGTGGCCCTTCGCAGTTCAAGTGTGGGAGAAGTTTCTATCTTTGTGAAGGAAGTACAGCCAGGGAGTATAGCAGACAGGTGAGAAAGATGTTCATTTTGCTAAAAAAAAAATAAATAAAAAAATTAACTTTTAAAAGATTATAAAGATAAGAAAATGGCAATAAAAATAGTAACAGTAGCAGCTAACACTAACTGAAGCTCTTCCTGTGCATTCACCAGGCCTTTTGCATATGTTCTCATGCACAGTTGAGGCAGCAGTCCATTTTTATAGATAACAAAGCTGAGATTTGGAGAGATTTGGTAGTTCACCTATAATCATACCACTGATAGTGCTGGAACTATGTGATTCCAAGGCTAATTGTAAAACTGTTGTATTTTCTACTCCACTACACTGATTTCTGAGCATATTTAGGTATATTCTGAAATATAGCTAAAATAATGAGTGTAAATAATCATTCTGCATCCTATATGGATTATTAAATATAAGATTATAATAGTTTTTGTGTGAGCATATTGCATAGTTGATTTATTAAACTTACTGTCTATCCAAGGGCCTTCAAGCCTGTGTTTT